TTAAATATGAATAGAGTCAAAGAGATAGATAGATAGATAGATAGATAGATAGATAGATAGATAGATAGACAGACAGACAGACAGATAGATAAATAGATAGATAGACAGACAGACAAACAGATAGATAGATAGATAGATAGACAGACAGACAGACAGACAGATAGATAAATAGATAGATAGACAGACAGACAAACAGATAGATAGATAGATAAATAGATAGATAGACAGACAGACAGACAAACAGATAGATAGATAGATAGATAGATAGACAGACAGATAGATAAATAGATAGATAGACAGACAGACAGACAGATAGATAGATAGATTGATAGATAGATAGATAGATAGCTTAAATGTCATTTGATCATTTTTCGTCTGCCGAAATAAGCTTATTCCCCACATGAGGTGATTTTGGATTTTATTGTACATATAACAATACGCAGCTATTACAATATTTCCGCAACTTAAAGTTTCATGGGAACAATGATAAAGTTATGCGGTGGTCGGGATATTCATTTCCTTATATATGTAGATATATATATATTAGAACGAAGATTTTAACCTTTTTAGAGTACCGGTCGATATATTTTCTTAATATCAATGGTTTTCCATGTCGACCTACAGGTTCATACCACATATCTCCGTTCACAAGCCTGCAGCTAGTAAAATATGGGATATTAAAAACAATAGCGACAAAAATCAATTGATATATATATATATATATATATATATATATATATATATATATATATATATATATATATATATATATATATATAACACTTATGAAGATGGGAAAGACAAGAAAATTAGCTAAATAACTAAATACTGTGACTGATCCAATATCAACAGGTTTACCTTTAATATTTTACTGTCATTTACTAAACCAGTATAATAATGACAGCAAAATGTTTCCACACACCATACACCAAATACATGCACACATATAAATGCACGAGGGTGCGCACACACACAAAAGCATAGAAAGATATAAGACTATCATAGATAGATATGAAACTTCTCTGAAAGATAGATAGATAGATAGATAGATAGATAGATAGATAGATAGATAGATAGATAATGAAGACACTGATGTAGACAGACAGATATTAAACGAGTGAAATAGATAGAGAGATAGATAGACAAGGAGACACTGATGTAGACAGACAGATATTAAGAGTGAGATAGATAGATAGATAGATAGATAGATAGATAGATATAATGAAGACACTGATGTAGACAGACAGATATTAAACGAGTGAAATAGATAGACAACGAGACACTGATGTAGACAGACAGATATTAAGAGTACGATAGATAGATAGATGGACTGATATATATATATATATATATATATATATATATATATATATATATATATATAGATAGATAGATAGAGATAATGAAGACACTGATGTAGACAGACAGATATTAAGAGTGAGATAGATAGATAGATAGATAGATAGATAGATAGATAGATAGATAGATAATAATGAAGACACTGATGTAGACAGACAGTTAATAAAAAGAATGAGATAGATAGATAGATAGATAGATAGATAGATAGATTTTAATGGACTGATATATATATATATATATATATATATATATATATATATATATATATATCGACACAGAGAGAGAGAGAGAGAGATAAGTTAAATGTCATTTGATCATAAATTTATCTTTAATCTCTTAAAGAATTTGTCTTTCTTCCCCACAACCGACATTTTCTAAACAGTAAATAAAAAAAAAATTATAAACTAATTATATTTTTAGCAACACCCTCAACAAATTCACATATAATAAAATTATCTCTTAATCTGTTGAAATCTGGAAACCAGTTGGCATTTTGCCCGTCTTTTGTCCTGGCTCGAAAAATTCGGTAGAATTTTTTCCGCTTTTTTTCATGTGTTCGCGCGAGTGATGAGAAAAAAAAAACGCCAGAGTTTTCCTTTTCTCTTTTGCATTGTTGTCTATTGAATTCTTTCTGGGATATCTTTTACTTTTCTTCATTTTGGTTGTCGTTTCCACATTAATTCTTTCCCGCCTGTATTCCTTCTTCTTCTTGGGCTATTATTTCTGCCTCTTTTTCATTTTATTCACTGACCTTTTTTTTTTTTAATTCTTTAAGTTTTTTTTTTCTTTTCATGCCTTTTTGTCGTCATTTTTTACTTCTTTTGCTGCATCGAGTTTTCTTTTTTTTTCCTTTCATTCTTTTCTTTCTGCAATTTGTAAACCTTTTTCTCTCCTCAGGTTACCCTTCTTTCTTTTCTTTCTTTTTTTACTTTCTTCTGACTTTCATTCATTCTATCTTCCTTTACTGAATCATTTATTTTTTCTGTTACCTTTCCTTAATTCATTCATTCTATTTGCCTTTCCTTCTTCCATTCCTACTTTTCATCTGTTGTTCATTATTTTCTTTAGGTTTTAACTTCGTTCTTTTTTCTTTCTTTTTTGTTCCTTAATATATCTTTAATTCCTTCTTTTTTTCATTCCTTCACCATTTTGCATTCTTTCTCTCATTCTTTCTTTGACTTTATCTTACTTTCTTGTTTTTTTTTTATTTATTTATTTCTCATTCATGCTTTCTGTGTTTCCTTCATCTTCTTTTATTTCTGTTTATTGTTCGTTCTCTCTTGTTTTATCTTTCCTTTTTTTTCTTCATTCATTCATTATTTGCTGCGTTTTTTTTCTTTTTATCTCTATTTATAATTATTATTTACAATTTTCTTTTTCTTTTTTTTTTCTTTCGTTTCTAATACGTTTTTCTTTTAGACTTCCTGTCTTTGCTTCTGTTGTTGTCTGGGATTCCATTATTTTGAACTGAACCAATGTGTCTTCCGCTTTTTGGTGGTGTTTGGTCAGGAACCAAAATCAGGTCGATGGGATGGAGCTTAATATTTGCTGAAAATAGATAGATAGATAGATAGATAGATAGATAGATAGATAGATAGATAGATATGAACGAAATGTGATAGATAGTTAGATAGATAGATATGAACGAAATGTGATAGATAGATAGATAGATAGATAGATAGATAGATAGATAGATAGATAGATAGATAGATAAACAGACTGGGATAGATAGACGAACAGACAGGGGATAGATAGATAGATAGATAGATAGATAGATAGATAGATAGATAGATAGATAGATATGAACGAAATGTGATAGATAGATATGAACGAAATGTGATAGATAGATAGATAGATAGATAGATAGATAGATAGATAGATAGATAGATATGAACGAAATATGAAAGATAGATAGATAGATAGATAGATAGATAGATAGATAGATAGATAGATAGATAGACTGGGATAGATAGAGGAAAAACAGGGATAGATAGACGAACAGACAGGGATAGATAGATAGATAGATAGATAGATAGATAGATAGATAGATAGATAGATAGATAGATAGACATGAACGAAATGTGATAGATAGATAGATAGATAGATAGATAGATAGATAGATATGAACGAAATGTGATAGATAGATAGATAGATAGATAGCTAGCTAGATAGATAGATAGATAATATATCCGATATGTATGTTTAGGTTCAAGATTTCGACTCAGATAATTCATATCCAGTGGCATGAAAGAGTAAAACGAAAAGAAAACCTAATGTATTTTAAGCAGCGTAATTGTTTTAATAATCCCTTTTGTTTGAAAGCTAAATCCAAATTCTTTAGAATGCAGAAAGTAACTTCTAAACAAATCCTATTTAAAAAGAATAGATATTTCATGTCTATTAAATATATTATTTCGTTTTTATTTTCTAAAATACGAACCACTTTTCACAAATTTTGTAGACGTAGAAAACGTCGGATATTTATTTGAGGCCGAAACACATCCTTGACGATTTAACTGGGATAAAATGTCTATTATTTTTCATAAAACTTGTTTGAAAGTACAATTTCTGCTGAAATATTCTTTCTATTTCATGTACATATTTTCTAAACAATTGTTTCAAACTTTTCCTGCGCTTAAAATTAACATTCGAAATCCTGTTTCGTTTTTAACGGGGTTTGTTCCTGTGATCGAACATTAACCCTAAACACAAGTGGAAAATTATCAATTATCTCCACCATCACGCTATTTATTGTACATTTTTTCGCCATACTTTTACTTGTTTCATACATTCTTTCCCAATCTGTCTTAACTGTGTCCCTGCTTTTCTATCAGTCTCCATAGAACACCCCGATATCTATCCTCCCGCTGTATCACCCCATGCACTCCGAATCCATCTTTCACCTTCTTCATATTATCCTCCCCAAGCTCACACTCCCGACACTTGTCGGAAGGTAAGTATCTTTTAACGAGTATGTAGAGTGCCAGCTCTAAAACAAGGGAGAGTACTCGGGTCGGCTTACTAAAGAATGCCGTAGATATTTGCTTGAAATCTGACGATGACGGCAAGTTGGAAATGGAGAAAGATTTGATACTATGAGAGCCTTTTTGGAGGCAAAAAGTAACACGACACGTACATCAGGTGCAAAGATGCAAAGTTAACAAAAACTGCCATTTTCAACCAGACACTCACTCTCTCATTCTCTCCTTTTCCATCCATCTATCTATCTATCTATCTATCTATCTATCTATCTATCTATCTATCTATCTATCTATCTATCTATCTCTCTATATATATATATATATATATATATGTGTATATATATATATATATATATGTGTGTGTGTGTGTAATCTAAATATATATAAGGACGGAGAGATGTATATACTGAGATATATATATATATATATATATATATATATCCGTCCTTATATATGTTTAGATTACATATATATATATATATATATATATATATATATATAATTCTGCCTATTATTTTTCTGAGTTTATTCATTTGTCTATCTATGTCAGATATCTACTTTATTTATAGTGGCGTATATTCATAACTATCTATCTCCCCATTTTTTGTATATATTCATGTACATCACACACACTCATACACACACACATATATATGTGTGTGTGTGCATGAGTTTGTGTGTATGTGTTTGCATATATATATATGTACATATGTGCGTATGTGTGTGCATATATTTATATATATATATATATATATATATATACACACACATGTGAGTGTCTATATATATATATATATCCCTGTTTTTACATATTCTATATATATATATATATATATATATATGTGTGTGTATGTATGTATGGATGTATGTATATATGTAAAAGGACAATATGAATAAAAACTAAACTAAAACTCATTTTAGCTGATGTGTTTTGTCCTCAGAAGGACTTTATCAAGGTAAAAGCAAGGTTTTATTTTTTTAATAAGTATTTTATACAAAAGGAAAGATATTGGTTTTACAAAATTTTTCATTTTAGGAAGGCTCATAAATATTCATCAGGTTTGCTGAAAAGTCTATATGATTTTTTTGAATTTTTTTACGCAAATTATTCATTAAATTATTTTAGTTTGGGATTAATTTATATGTTACAAATTTTGGATAAAATGACGTTCTGGATTTCACCGTTTCTTTCAAATTTTTTTATAGCATTTTTGTAGTCATGGATGTTGGCTTAGGAAAGAACTAATTCTTTCAGGAATGGGAGTTTTGGAAAACATCTCAAGTGTAGTTTTATATTTTAATACGATTTAATAGTGACACTCTCGAGAATTTTCATTCTAAATTACTTTCTCTTTTAATAAATATGATATTCTTTAAATCGAAATTGTTGTTGAATTAGATTCTATCTATAATTCATGCATTTGATAAATTGTTGAATATAAGATCTTTTTGCTTTCATATATACGTTTTTTTTTATTTTGCAAGTTTCTCCTATGTATTGTGAGGAACAGTTTTCGCAATTTGTTTGACATATATTTACATCAGAACTATTATTCTCTTGAGAATTTTTATTCTGATCATATCTATAATAGCTTTTGGATGTAGTTGTAATTATTTTGATATTCTTTAGATTGGAAAGATTGTTTTTGATAGTGGATGTTATGGAGATAGTAGGCAGTATAATGCATCTATTTCTTATCTAGTTTATTGTTGTTAATAATGTTGCTATCTTTCTTTCGGTCGTATATTCTTTATGCCTTTCTCTTAGCATTGTGGAGGAAATAATAAGGGTATTAGATGTTTTGAAATTGTTTTCTATATATATTTATTTTTTAGGTAAGCAGGATTGTATTTAAAGTTTCTGTTCATAACATTCTGTGTAAGAGCACTATTAATCTGCAGCCCGCAATATTTACCCAAAGAAGAAATATATATATATATATCTGTGTGTGTGTGTGTGTGTGTATAGCTCCTACTACTGTTCAAATAATACAAAAATAAAATGAATTTTAAACAGTCAAAACGTAAAGAGAAATTAACAACACCTAAAATAAACCCTCCTGAAAATTGCTAAAGAAGTGGCTGAAAGCCCATGTACTATATACATAATTTTTTCACTTCCTTACGTCCAACACACGGCAAAATTTAAGAACGCTGGAAAAATAAATAAATAAAAATAATTAAATTTTCCCTTTATGCCATATTTAATTGAAGATGTGTAAAAGAAAGGTTGCTACCCATATATATATATATATATATATATATATATATATATAATCATTTCGAAAAATCGATACTACGGTTTCATCTCATCAGGCCGAACGGTTTC